TGGCTCTATCCAGGGTTAGGTCACTAGATGGTCTGTTTCTAACAGCCCTTTGATCCCCAGTCCATCATGTTAGTGTGAGGTTCCCTGAGGAAGTAACCGCCTCAGAAAAACCCTAGGAAGCTCCTGGTGTAGACAAAACTGTGTCCCCAAGTGCAAAAAGTCAAGGTCAATCCCACATCTGCAAGGGAAAATGAGGACTGTGTTATTACAGGTACAGAAACACCTGCTGCTACTCCTTTCATTTCCACTCTGTCAGATGTACAGTGGCACGAAGTGCATGCCAAGAGCTGGGCCTCCAATATTGTACACAAACACATTAAGACCAGGAGGATCCACTGTCCCCCCTCACACGTCCGACATGCGTAGTGTGAGACGCGTACAGGGGAGATGGTAACCTGCCTCTTTAGGGCATTATCTTACATTCTGACAGGGTCTGAGGATCAGCATATGGGTGTAGGACACTATCCTTGACCACATGACAAATAATGCCCAATATTTCCTAGGCCACCATCTCATAGGCTAACCACTTGAATGTTGTTGGTTCCATAAGGAAGAATTAGTGTAACCACATACCGCTCAGAGCATATTGGGGAAGGAGAGGGTGGGTCCCTGCAATTTAGTTGAGGTGGCTTCCCCATTTCATGCTATAACCCACTGTATTAAAGTGTTATTACATGTCCTGTACATGACTTCTGAACAGTGTGGGGAAGAAGAGGTGGGTCCCTGCAATTATGTGAGGTGGCTTCCCCAGTTCATGTTCTAACCACTCTCCTAAAGTCTCCAGACTGCATGGAGCTGACTGGTTTCAAGTGTAGGGAAACTGCACTGTCTTTACCACAAGGTTTTAGGGGACTGTAACTGCATCACAAAGTTGAGGTAGCACACTGTTAGAGGTGAATGTCTCTGTACACTGACAATTGTGTTGTATGCTAACAGTAGTGAATAATCCCTCAGAAACAGGTCTTAGCTCTGTCAGTATATGATCCTCCTCAATGAGGAGTGCACTGTGCAGTAGCTACACCGTTGGGATACTACTACATTGAAGCTACACACACTCACCCAAATCTCAGTGCACCTAAATATGAATGCAGTAATTATCAGCACCCTCCTACATGCACCTTCACATAGTATTCTGAACAAGGTGGTTACTTATACAGGCTCCTCTTTTCTTTATTATCTGTTTTCCCCTGGGAAGCTCTCTACCTCTGCAGGTCTCTGAAGGCTGTCATTTTCTGTCTAAGGGGCCTGGTGTCTCCAACCATACAGGGGAGGGTGACTGTCAGGGGAACTGACATCACTGTAATCAGATTATCTGGCGCCTTGGCAGGTGGGGCTCTGAAGTGTTTTCCCTAGCCCTTATCACTGACTTTTACACATCCTGTGCCCCTATCACCACTGCTGACATAGCTATTGTAAAGCATACTCCTAGCCAATTTGGGTTGCATTCCTCACTCATTTACCATCTTTATCTTCTAAGGTGCTGTCCACTTGTCAGACCTGGACCCTTGTCAGACCTGGACCCTATGTACAAGCTTCTACTACACACCCACTACCCTCTTTAGCCTCCACCTTTTACTTCAGCTGGGTAGATGGACCTCTTCAGAAGAGTGAACTCTCCTGCACAACAAATCACATGCATTGTTGAATAATATTTTTGAACTTAGATGTCTCGCATGTGCCTGCTATATACTATACTGCGCGAGAGGCGCGCGCAAGTGCGCGGAAATTATTATGTCACCCGGCCTATACACTATATATAGCGTGCATTGCAGCGCAGCGGCCCCTCGCTCTGCTACGCGAAAAGGGTGGGGCCGGTGCATGGGCCTTAAGCATGCGCTAAAAAAATAAGTGGAACAAGTGGAAAAATCATTTCTTCAAAATGAATGGGGATGTAGGGATGGCGTAAATTATGAAAAAGGATGCCAACAAGATGCTTTAGCCGACAACAAAAATCATACATCCATCCCTACATCTTTCTTTACTCACACATCCTACTGTGATCATTATTACGTTGTGAATTATGTATAATTATATCTTACATACTTCATGACATGTAACCACACATTTTAAGGGCGTCTACCGACACTCTGATACAGAGCAAACGAAAGAAAGATGTAGGGATGGATGTATGATTTTTGTTGTCGGCTGAAGCATCTTCTTGTTGGCATCCTTTTTCATAATTTATGCCATCCCTACATCCCCCTTCATTTTGAAGAAATGATTTTTCCACTTGTACCATAATGATGCACATTAATTTTTAGTGTTATCACATTATCACATTACAAAAGTGTTATCATTACCTGTGCTTATATGTGGATTAGTTGGAGGAGGAGATGTGTGAGGAAGAATTGTGGCGTACAAAACTGTGTCTTCCTTTGTGTCTGGTGGCTTTGAATATTCCATACAGCTTCAGGTTCCATCCACTTGAATGTACTATATAATATTATTGGGGAGAGGGAGCAGTGTACTGTTATTCATCTCTCTGACAGTATTAAAGCCACAGCCCCGTTTCCATATACACTGAAGGACTAAACATGTTTCTGACCCACATGGAAACCTGCCCTGGAAGTCCGAACCAATGCACTGGTGAGGTCATTCGATGCTACAAACAATGACGTTACACAGAGATGTCTCTCCCAACTCTCAACATTTTCACTTGCTTATAACTAGCACTCTAACTGTCTGTACGAAAACTAGAGTGAGGGGTACAGAGTGTAATCATAGGGGTCTCTCAGATAATGAATATGCAAAGTTGTGGCAAAGATAGCTAGTTTCAGTATTATATGGCCTGAAGTGTGGTAATCAACTCTACCCTATATAGCTGCTACCTATGTGATGTCCTTATTAATGTATATAGCTGTGGTTTAATTTAGCATCAGTTCATGAATGGTTGCTGCAGGTGTAGCTCTATACATAAGACAATTTACAAGCTCACCATTTCCCATCGTAAACTTTGACACACATTGTGCGTGTGCGCACTGTAGGTACGTATCTACATGTAAATGTACGTGTATGATGTAAAGTGCACTAACGGCAACTTCCTTTGGTTATTTTACATCTGCCATACCCCACTGACTTGGTGCATTATAAGCTGATGAAAGTTTTTGGATATTCACATTGAGAACTCTGTCTCCTGAGGGGCTTAACCTAGACGAGTAGGCACCCACAGAACACCATCGTGGACAGCCCTGGTACAAGACCTGACAATAAACATGTTAGAATGAATCATACGTCTATCTATATAATAGACAACATCTGCCTGTGTATTCACTTGCCTGAAGAAGATCCCTCAGGGATCGAAACGTCGCAAGATGATATTTTGGTCAGCAGTCTGCACGCGAAGCCCTTCACCCTTTGCGGTAGCATCAGCTTATAATGGACCCGTATATACGGGCTTCGGCTGGAGAGATCGGTTGTTTTTGGGACCAGACTAAAAGAATCTAACCCACTGACTTGGTGGAAAGATCATAAGAATGAACTTCCACTGTGGGCGAGTGCATGCTCTGCGGCAGCGGAGCGTGTGTTTTATATTCTCTCTAACTCTTTCAACTCACAGCAAGAATCCTCATTGGAAGATTATACAGAACTTTCTGTCATTCTACAGTATAATAATCGTAGTAGTAACTGAGAAAATTATTTTCATTTGTAATGCTTGGTTCTTTGCTCATCGATCTCCTTTTTAACTGAAGAAAAATGGGAAACCTCGTGAGAAAAATAGGTGAAAGTAAAATAGGTTTACATTATGAGCATAAAGTCATGAGATCAGGACGTGCAGCAGATTAATTAATCTGAAGTAACCTATTGAAGAAAGCTGTCTGTGCCAGCACTAACACGCTTCAAGGTTAGACTTTCTTTGTACAAAGTAACTGTGTGCAAAATTCCTCACTAATAAAAGTTGTTGAATGTAAAGTGCTGCAAAGTAAGGAGATCAACAAATCTACTGAAACTACTCACCAGAAAGGCATGTTCAGAAATGCTGCACAGAGGATGCAAAATTCCTTATGATAAAGTTTGTCACTCAAATTCACTTAACCATAAACCATAAACAGAAAAGGGTGTCCTAAACTCTCCTAACAACATTCTTTTTTGATAGTTGTGGGTAATTGTTTCGCTAATTGTTTTCCCCTTATTCTGTATGTGTCAAATAGCTTTCTTAATTGTGAGGAATTTGTATCCTTCTCTAAGGAGTCTCTATGCGCAAGACAACAACGTCAGCAAGCTGTGTGGGATAGGCATAATATGATTACATGTGCCCTTGTTCGTTATAAAAAGCTGCGAAGCGAAAAGAGCAAGCACCAGATTTTCTTCTGTGACTAACACATTTCTAACCGTCTACAGGAATGAAGCTGTGCCTCTATATCGGAGTGGCAGTCTCTCTGTTGGTGACTGCTGTACTGGCGGGTCCAGTGGAGGACTATCCTGTGGAAATGGACTCTCAGGATATGACCAGTGATGGACAGTCCGAGATGGATGAGGACTACAATGCTTTCCTGGAGTCCTTTCCTCAGGGAGACTTTGAATCACAGGGTGATGTGCCAACTGCACAAGATGATATTCCACAAGGTATAAGGATAATGAATATTATTGGTGAATGTATCCAGGTTTGCTTCGTTGCTGCAGCAATGGATGATGCATTTCTCATGGCAGAGCCAAGGCTACCACCAAAATCAACAGCAGACCTGAAGCATCAACTTTTGAATCGTCCCAAACAGCAAGAGACTAGCATTCAATCTAGCTGCAATGCTAAAAGTGCGTGAGTGCAGAGTCATAAGTATGCATGTGGGCTATGATTCCTAGTCTAGTAGCTGCCACAAAGTTAAAAGTGAGGACAATAACATTCAATTGTGCATGTGGGCTATGGTTTCATAGCTGTTGGGTATATACAGGCTTAGAGTGGATTACAATATAGTAAGTAGACTTTGCTTCACAGTGTATGATAATGTTGCAGGGATCAAACATGGTGCAACTATTGGACTTCAGTTTGTGGCAAACATGGGCAAGTGGTTGGGCTGTAGTGCACCCACATGCCGTGGCTTCAATTGCCCCGGAATGATCTTCACAGGAGCTGATTGGAACTACTGCTGGGGAGAAGTGTATAAAATATACAGGCCCCTTGGTCCTGGTGACATTCAGTCTGGAGATTTCGTTGGTCTCTACTACGTTCGTACTGGACACTGGTTTTCACTTTATGGGAACCGCGCCCACATGGATCGCTGCCCTGGAAGTCAGAACCAACGCACTGGTGAGGTCATTCGATGCACTGAAGTGCAAACCCTTGGCGCACTGTGACGCGCGCGCGTAAGTAAACGCATGCGCCATACCACTAATTGATGGGCTGGGTTTAGTTTTAGCTGTTACTCGTGGTCTCTTGCCAGCTCGCGCAGAGTCTGACGCGGGCTAACTACACTACTAGATAGCATGCGAGAGGCGATACACGCCCTGTGTTGCATCTTCTGGTGCCTCCGAGGTACGCAGAGCACGCGGATCGTAGTAAACCGTGCATATTGGCTTTTTCGCGCTCTAGCTTTGCAACGGAGCGTTTTCAGAAAAACCGTTCGAAATTTCTGACCTTCATTGCCCGTTCAGTAGGTGGTATCCTTTGTGAGAAGAACGAACACTCGAGAAGTGAGATGACGAGTAACACAGACCCAAGTACCGTAACCCTCGCTGCGCATGCGCGCCGAGGGTTAAAATGACATATTGAAAAGCACTAAAGTGCAAACCCTCGGCGAAGTAGCTCGAAGAGAGTCTGACACGGGCCAGCTACAGTCGTAGATAGCACGCGAGAGTCGATACACGCCATTCGTTGTGACTTCTTGTGCCTTCAACATAGAAGGAGCAAGCGGACCCGGTCCTTTGCTAAATATAAGCGCATGCGCATTATCCGCCAGCGATAAAATGGCGACTACCGGCATTAGCCATACAATGTGGAAGCGCTCTAGCTTTGCAAAGGAGCATTTTCAGAGAAAACCGTTCGAAAATTCTGACCTTCATTGCCCGTTAAGTAGGTCGTATCGTTTGTGAGACGAACAAACATTCGAGAAGTGAGATTGAGAGTAACAGACAGACACACACACACACACACACACACACAGACAAACCCAACTACTGTACCCTCGCTGCGCATGCGCGCCGAGGGTAATAACACAGAGATGTCTCTCCCAAGCTCTCAACGTTTTCACTTGCTTATAACTAGCACTTATATCTGTCAGTACGAAAACTAGAGTGAGGGGTACAGAGCGTTGTTATAGGGGTATCTCAGATAATGAATTTGTAAAGCGGTGGCAAAAGATAACTAGTTTCAGTGTTAGCTATATGGCCTGAAGTGTGGTAATCAACTCTACCCTATATAGCTGCTATATACCTATGTGATGTCCTTTAATGTGGCTGTGGTTTAAATTTGCATCAGTTCATGAATGGTTGCTGCAGGTGTATACATAAATATTTAAAAGCTCACCATTGCCCATCGTAAACTTTGACACACTTGACTTTGCTCCAACTCACAAAATATGTGATTGTATATGGAGCTGAAAGCAGCACATTTACTAGGCCAAATAATGCATTATGTATATAGCGATATTTCTTTTAATTGTGCTCAGTAATGTACGTATCTGCATGTAAATGTATATACGTATTAATGTAAAGTGCACTAGCGGCAACCTCCTTCGGTTATTGTACATTATATGTCAAAAATGTTTATTTCATAGGGTTTGGTCATCTCTACAAGTGGTTCCATTGTGGCGGGGAAGTTTTCCGGATATATGCCTATGGAAAAAAGGATGGAGCTCCTCTAGACGAGGAAGATGATATTATGCTCTACTACCCATTAGGTCGCACCTTTGGTCGTTTCCCAAGTAATGGAGCCATTGGCGTAAGCACATGTCCTCGTGGACAACTACCTCCCACCTGTGACAAATTTGATCGTTGCCCTGAGAACCTGATAAAGGTCACAGTGAAATAAGTAGCTTGAACATTCTTTGATCATGGATGCTAATTAGCTATAGCTAAGACTCTTGAGTTTAGAGGTGTGTTAAATAATCTAATCTTCATCAATGAAAAATGTGTGTTCAATGCTTAGTTACAGGCGCTCATCAATAAAAGATGGACACAAAATATAATGAAAAGCACTGAAGTGCAAACCCTCGGCGAACTGCGCACGCGCGGTACCACTAATTGATGGGCTGGGCTTTTAGTATGCGTTACTCGTGGTATCCACGCTAGTAGCTCGCGGAGAGTCTGACACGGACAAGCTACAGTAGTAGATAGCATGCGGGAGTCGACACACGCCCTTCGTTGTGACTTCTTATGCCTTCAAGATACACCGATAAAAATGGCCGACTACGCATTAGCCGTACAATGGTGGAAGCGCTCTAGCTTTGCAACGAAGCATTTCAGAGAAGACCCCACATATTTTCTGACCTTCGTCGCCCGTTGGGTAGATGGTATCGTTTCTGGGACGAACAGACATTCGAGAGGTGAGATGTAGAGTAACAGACAAACAGACAAACAGACAAACCCAATGAAAAGCACTGAAGTGCAAACCCTCGGCGCACTGTGACGCGCACGCGTAAGTAAACGCATGCGCCGTACCACTAATTAATGGGCTGGGTTTAGTTTTAGCTGTTACCCGTGGTCTCTCTTGCCAGCTCGCGCAGAGTCTGACGCGGGGCTAACTACACTACTAGATAGCATGCGAGAGGCGATACACGCCTGCGTTGCATCTTCTGGTGCCTCCGAAGTACGCAGAGTACGCGGATCGATCCGACTGTGGTAAGCCATCCCGTCCGTTGTGTATTTGCATATTGGCTTTTTCGCGCTCTAGCTTTGCAACGGAGCGTTTTCATAGAAAACCGCCTTTATTGTCTGACCTTCGTCGCCCGTTGGGTAGATGGTATCCTTTCTGGGACGAACAGACGTTCGAGAAGTGAGATTGAGAGTAACAGACACACAGACAAACCCAACTACAGTAACCCTCGCTGCGCATGCGCGCCGAGGGTAACTACTGTAACCCTCGCTGCGCATGCGCGCCGAGGGTTAATAATTATAACAGCTGCACGGGCTGCTTTAATGCAATCAGTCGTTTGAAAATTTCACAAGAGCTGGACTCATTAACACTAGTGGTTCTTGTTGTTCTTTTCCGACCTCTCCATCCCATTATGGAATGTGACCAGGACTGGGTTGGGCAGGGGTGGAGTCTACCTAAGTGATCGCTCCACCTCATAAGGGGAAGTCCCCAGTCACACCCACTGCCGAACAGAAGCTGTTTTAATGTGTCAATGCTCACTTGCCAAGAAAGTTTCGCTCTATGTGCATTCTACATAACTTAAGAGCCTCAGTGATGTTAACCCTAAGAATATCCTGATGCAAAGTAGATTCATAAATCATAGCTGGACATAGCTCACAAAGTTATATTCATCTAATTTTAATGTGCAATACATAAACACACACCATAAAAAATAAGTTCATCTGTCACTTCCATTTACTGTGAGACTTTATCTACATGTGTACCAAAATGATTTTAAAAGTGCTTTCACATTACAAAAGTGTTATGGATTAGTGGGAGGAGGAGATGTGTGAGGAAGAATTGTGGCGTACAAAACAGTGTCTTCCCTTATGTCTGGTGGTCTTTGAATATTCCATCCAGCTTCAGGCTCCACTTGAATGTACTATATAACATTATTGGGGAGAGGGGGACAAGAAAAGCCGTGAATAATGGCAGTCAACACATATATAAAAAAACTGAGAGCAAAAATATGACATGAAATCACACTTTAGAATAGCATACATTTCTCTGACGAGAAACAACTGGAGCAGTGCTGTGTGGAGACGACTCTTGGCTCACACCGGAGTCTCTACTGTCTGGTCCAGACGACCGGTTCAGGTGTTTGTCTCAGTCTCAGCAGGTTTTGGAGTCTGCTGCTACGTCTGTGGTAGCTTCAGACAGATTTGGGAAGTTGTGTGTACGAGTGGTAGTGTTTTGGTGGCTCTGTGGTAGCATTTGGCAAACTGTGGGTATGAGTGGTAGCGTTTGGCGAGCTGTGGGTTGTTGGAAGGTGCAGGTGAGGGCGGTGGTAGCTCCGTCTCAGTGGTAGTGTGGACTGAGACTGGGTTGTTGTCGCGGGGGGACTATCGCGTATAACTACCTTTCTAGCTCCCAAACATTCCAAAATGAAGTCTTTAACAAGGCAAACAAAGAACCAAATTTAATCCCCCAAGACCTCACTAACCAAAACAAAGGATAAGGATGCTTTCATGAAAAACATCAAGTGACTGGAAATGTCAAACCCCCATCCCCAAGCTTCCCCTGCAGGGCAACTAAGAATTGCTCCTAAGACAATTAATTAGCTGCGGCACTCCCACAAAAAATGACTAACACTTTTAACAATCATCATCACAAAACAGGCCACTTTCCTTCATCCCTCCCTCCCACTATTGCCTACCCAGGCCAATGCGTGCCTGACCTGAACTTAAACATTAATCTATATAGGACCCAAGCATCACTTTATCCATGCAAGTACTTTTTGAAATTACCACCTGTTATTGTGTATACAACAAGGAGCTAGTGTGCTATTTAGCCCCTCTTTTTTTTTTTAAACTTTTTAATATCCCCTCTCATTGTATTGTCCCTTACATAGATTAAAAAAGCACTTCATGGAGAAATCCCCATTTGAAATATC